GACAGTGGGCATTGCACACACACAGTGCACATACATACATGTAGACAAAACACTGATATATATATATATATATATATATATATATATAATAACCATGACACGACAGGCTTCCGGGTATGCCTGTGGAGGGTGAGCCTTGCTTCCTGGACTCCTCTACCCTCTTCTTTTGCCAGACAGACCCGCACCCCACAATTGGCTTAAATTTGTGCTGTAAAATATCTTTTGTGAGTTCAAACCACTAAGGCCCTGTCTCCCATGGGCAACAGGTTACATAGGTGGAAAGGGGAGGCTGGGGGCCCATACCATCTAGCTCAGCACCAGTGTCCCCAGGGTCTCCGTCCTCTGCAGCTTCCCCTTCGGTCTCTGCTGGCTCTGAGTCCACATCCTCTTCCAGATAATTTTCATCCAGAGGGGCTGTAAAGCAGAGACGTTCAAGGACAGGAAAAAGACGACAGATAGACAGATGACTATGCAAGGTGCAAGAGGGCCATGGGGAGAAGGGAGGTCACCTGGGAAGATACGGAGAGTCCCCTATAAGCAGCGTTGGTGCCGAGGCTACTTGTCCACTTGAGTAGGACCAAGTAGGAGACAGCAGCTGCTGGCACAGTGGTATCACTTTTTCTCCAGAGGCTGCCGCTGTGAGAGCCTCAAGTCAGCCACTGTCAAAGGAAGCTGCTGGACTACCAGCAGCTTATACCAGTGCCTTTGTAGCAGGCATAGTACTAGCCAGTAAGAGGGCCCATTCCTCATGTCCATCTTTCTGTGACAGAGCTGAAGCTCAAGGGTCAGGTGACTCACATGAGGCTCCCCTGTTCAGCCTCGGCACAAGCAGAGGCTGATGCTTTCTTCCTAAGGACAAGTCTTGGGCTAATTTAGAGGACTCTGTTAAAGCAGGAGGGTGGGGCTGAGGCAGTATGTAAAGTTCCTTTTCTGGACTCAACAATGGCCCTTCAGGGCTGCAAAATGAAGTAAGGGACCCATCTACTTTACCTATCCCAAGGAAGACAGCCCCTAAACACGCACAACACCTCGCCCCAGCCTGTGCCTGTGGAGAATCTGCATATGGTGCAGACAGAGAAGGAGCATAGCAGCTGTCTGGAGATGCTGCTCAGTTTGACGGTAATACTTGTGATTTCCATGGATCAAGGCATCAAAGCAAATCTGGGTGAATTTCTTCCCAAGCTGAGCTGAAAGGGAGAGGGCAGGCCACCCAACATGAGGTTTTCCTTTGCAGGGCAACCCACTAGCTCTACCCCATAGGTCAGGTGATGACAAAACTTGAGGAAGAGGCTTGTTTAGGGAGTGGTGTTGGGGAGGGATGGGAAGTAGGAAGAGGCACCTTTAAGATTCTGGGAGTGCTGTGTTTTTGTTTGTTTTTGAGACAGGGTCTCACTATAAAGCCATGGCTGGCCTGGAACTTACTATATAGATCAGGTTGGCTTTGAATTCAGAGAGATCCGCCTGTCCCTGCCTCCCAAGTGCTGGGATTAAAAGCGTGCGCCGTCATGCCTGGCTTTTCTTTTTTTTTTTTTTGGTCTTTTTGAGACAGGGTCTCCCCGTAGCTCCAGCTGGTCTTGGAACTTGCCATGTGGACCAGGCTGGTCTTGAACTCACAGAGATCCGCCTGCCTCTGCCTCCTGAGTGCCAGGATTAAAGGTGTGCGCTACCATGCCTGGCACATGCCTGTTTTTATGTGCAGTTTGTAAGATGATGATGGTTCAAATTAATGAAGACCTTTTTAAAATACCGAAAACTGGAAAACAATGGCAAATAAGTTTGGAACAGAATAGACAGTCCAGGGTTTAGGAAGAGGAAGCTGCACTTCAAGTACAGTTTTGGGCTGGTGAACTTAGCCACCTGTTTGTTCTGCGATACCAGAGCAATTCAGGAAGGGGGCAGTGCCAAGGTATTCTCTTATGCTGATAGCATGTGCTGGAATAAACACTGGAGAAAAACTACTATGATTTCCATAGGTCTATAACCTTCGAGTGCTTTTGGTCACTCCAGAAAGATGCTCACCAGACACCAAGGAGTGGGGCTTTGGAGACACAAACACCCACTGAAAAGCAGCAACATCCCTGGGCTTCTTCAAAATAGAACTTTATACTAGGATGGCAAGCCCCATCACTGCACTCTGTCATGTCTGAGGCTACAAGGCCCAGAACATGGGCCCATTCCAAAGGGCCCTTTGTGCACAACATGTTTGCCTGAGTGAATCAGTGAGGATCTGGTACTGAGGTAGTATCCACACTCTCTCTGGCAAGTAAGCTGGAAGTAAGCACAAAGGCCACTCCTTGGCTCCTCAGGCTGTCCCAGCCCCCAACCAGCCTGTCCTCCTCCTGGTCCCTTGGTGTTTCAGGAAGTTCTCCCCCTTCAAGCTCCTACTTAAGAGACACCTGCTGTAGAGTCAGAAGGGTGGGGAGTCTTGCACTCCTAGGAGTACCTTGAAGGGAATGGTGGTCACACATATCAAAAAGCAAACACTTGAGTGCTAATGGTGCAGCAGTAGCAGATGTGGGAGGAGCCTCAGCTAGAGCGATGGAACTGAGGAGTGGAATCCAGGTTAAGATGCAGCTGCAGCGCTATGCTGGAAGCGATCACGCAAGTGAGGAGCCACACGCTACGGAAGCTGGGAGTTGCCATTTATTTCAGCTGCCTGCCAGGATGTCCTTCCTCCTCGGCCCTGCTCCTCCTTCCTTCAGCTCACGGTCAGCCATACTAGACAGCAAGTCCTCTTTCTCCGGTGGCCTCTCCTACCACGTGTCTACTTTCAGTTGCTGGGAAGGGTAACAGGCCCAGCCGGGCGGCCAAAAGATTCACAAGCACCAGCTGGTCCTGGAAGTGACTGCCGGGACCTTGGTTCTGAGCCCGTGGGGCACACTGCCTCCTTTTCTCGGTGTTTGGGAATATATACAGGCCTCTTTGTGTGTGGATGGAGACTGCTCTGGCATTGAGAGGGCAGAGGCCAAGGACATCGGACATCCTGCGATGGGACAGACTGCCCTGCCTCAAATGCCAAGCACCTCTTCTTGAAAAAACATGCTTCTAGAAAAACTAAGTAAAGACAATGAAGGCTTCTCAGTGTATTTCTGGTCCGGGTACTTAAAGAGACACTGTGGCTCAGTCTGGAGATCCAGCATACGTCCCACCCTGCTGCATTCAGCATGTCCTTCTACCTTATGCTGAGCAATACTGATCAGTTCTTGCCTTTCTTCTATAGTAAATTTTCTATAAATTCCTGTGTTGACTGCCTCTTCCTCTAACACACTGGTAGGTTGCTTCCCAACTTCATTTCTATAGGTTTAAAACCTCAGCACAAAAAGTTTTCTTTCACCTAGGCTTTCATATCCAACCACTATTAATAACTGTCACTGTACTGTCTGCACTGTTGTCTCCAGTCTGCCTGAGGGTAGGGGATGATGCATTTCTGGTCCATGCACAGATAGGTGGCCTAACTGAGCATGCACGCACCCCGCCCACTGGCTCCGCCCTCACATGCACCAGCGACAGGAGCGGAGTCCTAGAGTTAAGGTGCCAGCAGAGCCGCCTAGAGAAAGGTTACAATGAGTTGGAGTGGGGTGGGGGGATGGCACATATCACCAGACTACCTCCGGAGACAGTCTCCAGCCAGGCCTGTACTGCTGCACGGCGTACGGAGGGAAGGCCAGTCACTGAATTTAAAACAGATGATAAATGCAAAGTTAAATAGTGGTAAGTTCTTGGTAGGGAGAGCTGAGGTCACCCTAAAGTCCAAAACTGAAGAGAAAATGAGATGACATCACAAGACAGAGGTCCATCTGGCACTGACAAGGGGCGACGATCTGCCGTTAGCCTGTGTGACAGGTATTTGAAATAGGGAGAGAAGACAGACCATAAGGGAGGGCAACTCTGGCCAGGGCTGCAGTCAACCCTGTCCTGATCTCGAAGGTCAGCCCGATACCCTAGAGGATTAAAACATCCCACAAAAGCCTAAGTTTCCCCAAGGGTCAGAAGCCATCTTCTTTTGCAGACTCAGAGCCTCACAGGGTAAACAGGCCCTACATGGAAAACAGATGGCTGAAGAGAGTGATATACAATGACTATTCCTCTTCATGGGCTTTATTTTTATTCCTTAAAAGAAGTCAGAAGCTGGGCATGGTGGTGCGCGTCTGTGCTGCCAGGCATTTAGGAGGCTGAGGCAGGAGGATCTTGAGTTCAAGTCTTGCCTGGGTAGCTTTAAAAAAAAGTTAGAATAAGGTACATTTTTATCTTACTGGGAAACACAGATCATTTCACCTAAAACAGGCTTCCCTGAGACACATCTTTTAATTTCACTCCCAAGTCTGCTCCCTTCTCTGGTCTTGCCATTCATTCACACCCACACCCACTCTGCCAACACACTCTAAGAGAGGTGAAGAGGACCCCACTGAAAATGCATGAGACAGAGAGCAAATTCTAGGGTCTTCCAAGTCACTTTCGAGGTTCACTTTCCTGTTTTGCATCAGTAGAGATGGAGCCCACAACCTTATAACCCATAGAGAACTTTACATATCCTTGAACAAGAGCCAAGGGTAGCGGTCCCCCAGCAGACAGCACTGCTGCAGTCACTGGAGGGTCCAGAGATGGGTGCTTAGGGCGCACACTGGACTCTGGGTCTCAAAGCAGTTACCTCTAGAAGTGGAGGACTCGGAGGTTGGGACCATCCTCTCCTCCTCCGCCTCTCTTTCACGGATGTGTGTCCAGTGCACATCAGCCTGGATTGCCAAAGGATCCGCTGCATTTATGATCTGCTGCAGCCTGTTGTTCCCAGCTGGGCGCCAGGTCCCCAGGAAGGAGGAGACAGGGGAGGACAGAAGGAAGAGTGAACAGTCAAGGGGACGAGGGGATGAGACACCACAGAAAAGGAAACAGAAAGTTACAGTGTCTGCCAGGACCAGTTTGAATCAGAAAAGTAAAAACTGAGAATATACATGCATGTGCACATGTACACACACACACACACACACACACACACACACACGCTCATTTTGATTTAGTTATTCACAGCTTTACACAGACTTCTCATTTTCAGTGAGCTCCACATATTCCACCTCCAAATACAATGGAATTTTTCATTCTGAGGCTCTTTCCATTCTGAAGTGAATTTCCATCCTGAAGGGCCCACATTGCCCAGGAAGGAACAGGGCAGATGACCCTTACTTCTCAGGGCCATCCTGCCAGGGGCCCCAGGACTTGGCTGTCAGCTAGCACAGCATGAGCCCCCAGGACATACTTCCTGTTGGTCAAAGCAAGGTGCTTACCACCACCTGCCAGGCCAACTGCTTCTCCCTTAAGACTTAAGTGGAGTATTAAGACACAGGTGGGCAAGGACAGTGCCACTGCCGGGAGCCAGACAACTACCCAGGACACAAATGTGCTTTGCTGGGACTTTAGTTTTTATCGTCTACAGCAAGAGCTGCTGAAGAAAAGTACTTTTGCTAGAGGCCACACGCTGTATGCTGGGGCTGTGGCAGGGGCACTGACGTAGGAGGACAGTTTTGGGGGTGGGAGGGGGCAGGGAGCAACAGCTGGGAGAGGAAGCAGAGCTCTGTCCAGTGCTCAGGACAGGAGTGAGATCAGTGCCTCTGATCCTCCTGTGGCCGAGACCCTTCCTTTCCTGCAAACTGTACCTGGAGCTCTGCTGACTCCTATGGACATGAGATCTGCTTCTTAGCTAAATGAAAACTCATCAGCATCCCTTTCAGATGCTACTGCTGGCAGAGCCAGTGGAATTTGCATGCAGCCTCTGCCCATGGTCCTCTCATTAGTGCTTAGATCATGCCATACAGTAGGGTTAAGATAAAGGGATAGCCAGCAACTAGGGTTTGGGGGCACTGCAGAAGGGAGGAGAGCTATTCAGGCAGCAAGAGCAGGTGCCACCGATCTGAAGGTCTTTGGGGCTTCCATCTGGGAGTGTATGCACCCCTCCAACACTAACTGGACAGCCTGTCACTATTACAATGTTGTATCTTGAGGTGATGGAGATGTGACATGGCAGAAAGCACAGGTGAAATTTCCAGTGTGGATGTTGAACTATACTGTGACATGGAGAGGTGGCCCCAGAGGTTCCCTTATAGGTCTCTAGAGATTCATAGCCTATCCCCAATACCAGCTTGCCCTGATGGTGCTGGTAGGGGCTGAAACACAGTAAAATCACTAACAGCTTAGATTTGTTAGGACTGGGGAGAGTGAGTCACAGAGAAAAATGCTAGTCCTTTTACTTTGCCTTGTAAGGAACAGATGGATGAGGTAAGCCCTTTCTATGCCTCCTGCCAATATACATTTCTTTTAGGGGAATTTAGCAGCATGGGGTACCTGGGGTAAGACCAAAAAGCTATGGCTGTGTAGTGAGGTTTAAGTGGATAAGGGGAACTCATAGCAAAAGCTACCAGGACAGAGGTGGGGTAATGTTCTATAAGACTTGTTCTCTGTCCTCAGGAATCTGTTGACTCACATGCTATTCTGTGCTTTTCCAGGGACAGGTGTCCAGCTAGGTATGCACAAAGTCCTTGAGGGCAGCTCTACAAAATACATCTTTTCCATGTGGGACCTGCTCTTGAAAGCAAATTTTGGAGGTTGTTTGGGAGCCAGGATGGAGATGGTCAGGGGGCAAAGTGGGTACCTTCACATGTACCCATTTCTTCTTCCTTTGAGAGATGCTGGAGCCACTGGCCTTGGAGGAGTTCTCTGTCCCAAGGGCAATACTCCCCTTCTACAGCAGGGGGAGCCAGACACCCACAGACAGCACCAAGAATCCCGCAGAGGGGTGGGGGGGGGGGATGGGGATAAGTGGAGAAAGAGGGAATGGAGGGAGGGAAGAGAACAGAAGGCAGAGTTATCTTCTCCAGCTGCAAGCAGGAGTGAACTGACATTGCCCACACAGGAATCAGGTCTGCTGCCCCGCAGATGCACTGCAGGCTGGGGGACAAAGGCTTCATGTGGGAACAGACCTTGGCTGAATGTGCTGTTTCTCTAGCTAGAGGACTGGTCTTGACATTAGTTCCCAGCCCAGGGAAATTAAGTTTCCACACAGGGAAGGTGGGTAAAGCCTCCTGAGTTGTCACATGGAGATTATGACATCTCTAATGATTCAAATACCTTTCCCTGTGGGAGCTGGGAAGGGGTTGGACCCACTATGACAAATGAGAACACATGGTTGCTCTGGGCCAGCATGGAGTAGCAGACATGGTAGAAGGGAGAGAAACCATGCTCCAGCCAGTGCCAGGCTTCTAGAACACACCTTCTTCATGAATCATGAACCTGAATAGGCAGAGAGCAGGTCTGCTCAGGTTCCTCTTTGCCTTCACAGGGGTCAGCGCATGAAGACCAGAGAAGCTCCCTAGGGAAGAAGCCTGCGCATCACCAAGGAAATGTCCTGACTCTGAGCATTCCCTCTGGGAGAGGGCTGGGCAGCGAGCACACAGAATTCCAGGACAAGCAGATCCACCCTAGGAGCAATGGTGCCACTGAGAGCCAATTCCCCGTGTCTATGCTGTCAGGAACTGGGGCTTGGACACTGGAAGGTCCACATCCTTTCCTTTGGCTCTGTGCCCCTGGGAAGCAAGTGTGGCCCTCCTTGGGGAATCAGGTCTCCTTCCTCATCACTCATGGGCCCTCTGCAGCAGGATTCTTTCCCCTCTCTGCATAGCCAGAGAGGGGCAGAATAGAAAATCCTCAAGTCTAAGGCAAAAGGATTAATAGAAACGAACACATTCCCTAGGCCCCAAAGGTTGCTGAAGCCAGTCCAGTGAGCACCTAAGATCACAGCAGCCTGCTATCCAAGACCATGGTGACTTCTCTAGGAAGCTGAATTTCTTTGCCTTATTAAAATAAATTTCTTTACATGTAACTGTAGGGAAAAAAGAGATAACCTGAAAAAGCGAAAGTAACCTAAATTGGACAAAGTCCTATGTCTGGCGCTATCTTTCACTTCTAATTAAAAACACAAATGTGCACAAGGGACATTATTCACAGTGTGACAGCCTGCCAGACACTGGATGCTTCCTCTGTCCTGCCTAAGATCTGGAGCAAGTACGGGACAGAACTAGTCTCAGGCTCTGAGGCGGGCTTCCTGTGACTCCAGTAGCCCCCGCCCCACCAGAAACACAGCCAGAGGGGTGGGAGGTGGGATGGAGTCAGGGCTAGAAAAGACTCTTTCTGACCTTCACTGGACTCTTCTTCTTCTTCATCGTATTCTTCTTCCTCCTCTTCTTCATACTCCTCCTCTTCTTCCTCCTCTTCTGGCTCGAAGCTCTTGGAGGCTTCTAGCTGCTCTTCGCTTCTTCCCTTCAGAAGAGCGTGGATCCTCACCGCCTCCTTCCAGGGAACACCGCCCAGGTCAGAGGTGGGTTGTTGATCATCATCTTCCTCGTCTTCCTCCTCCTCCATCTCTGACTCGGAACTGCTAAGAGGAAACCACAGCACACGGAGGAGATTCAGAGCCGCATGCACAGGCAGCAGCTCCCAGCAAAGCAAAGAGAAGCAGGACGGGATGGTACCCTTTCCTGGTCAGGGAAGGGACAGGAAGGAGTGTACTGATGGGGTAAGATGACAGGCACACATGTGCAGCCCTATGCAGACCCACCCGAGGAAGAGCCCAGCCTGTGGGGCACAGTGACCACTCACTACACAAAAAAACAGAGAGAAAGTCCTTGCTTGCCCTGACTCACTGTTTGGCTGGAGAAACTCAATTGGCTAGAAGCTTCTTGTGAGAAGTTTCATGGGTGGGTTAGAGATGAAGAAGGAAGTCCCAGAAGGCTGACCTGAACAGGTGTGTGCATCAGGGTGTGTGTGCATGCTGAGGAAGGACTGAGGACAAGGCAGCAAATCCAATCCTCTGTGTTCCTTGAGGTCGTACAAAGTGTCACACAGACAAAGTACAGTAAAGGCCTCATCACCAGCACAGGTATAGCAGGGACCCTAGGAAGGGTCTCACCCCCGTCCCCTTGGAATCACATCTGACATTCTCCTCATCTGTTCCCTTCACAGCACAAAGCCAGCTTGGCTTGTGATGAGAACAGCACTACATTCAGTAACGTATGCAAAGACAAAAATCCAACCTCTACTCTCCTTTAGGCCCTGTAGGATACAGGATATGAGGAAAACTCCATGCCCAACAGTGCTGTGGCTGTGCTGTAAGTTTCCAGACCCGCTTCATGGTCAGGAGCCTTCATCCTCTGTCAGAGGACCTGGTTGGAGAAAATCTGCCCTTCAGAATAAGGCACTGGACTCAACTCTAGGCTGTGCAGTCCTAAGCCCCAGCGGCATGGGGTGGGTATCCAGTCTCAGCTTCCTGTGGAGGTGGGGTTCTCCATCCAGGGCACCTCCTCATAGCCCTTTTGTATATGAGAGTGAGCACAAGCACACACCAGAATGAGGACAATGGTGCTCAGTGTGAGAGCTGTCTCTCATGAGGGGATCTGGGGTGAAGTGAGGGCTCTGTGTGATGAGAGGATCTAGGGAAGCCTGGCCATACCAGAAAGAACAATGATGTGATTTAGGGGAGGGACTTTAGGTTAACTTGAGGACTAGGTCCATCACACGGGCTATCAATCAAAATTCATTACATGATGGGGGCTAGAGAGATGGCTCAGTGGTTAAAAGTGCTAGCTGCTCTTGCATTGGACCCAGGTTTGGTTCCCAGCACCCACATGGCAGCTAACAACCATCTGTAACTCCAGTGCCAGGGGATCTGATGCTCTCTTCTGACCTCCATGGATATTGAATGACATGGATGCCCTTACATGCATGCAGGCAATACATCCATACGCACAAAATAAAAAATAATAAATAAAATATTTTAAAAAATCACTATGTAAGTAATGGAGTCCCAATAAACACTCTAAACTCCCAGACCCCAGGTGAATGATACTTAGAACGCAATGTCATACATGGAAACTGGGAGCATAGCTGTGGGCATGGCTCCCATAGGGGAGAGGGCAATGGTAGCTCAGAGTCTTGTAGTTTCCTGGACTCTGCCATATGAAAGTCTTTCTACAGCTAAGTTCTAAAACTCTGCGTCCTTTCCCTCTGAGAGGCCACAGGTATGAGTGTGATCACTTTCAGCAAGTTCTGAGTCCCTCTCAAACTGCTAAGCCTTATGGCGTTTGTGGGGGAAAGGCTGAACTTGTGAAAGGGCTGAGAAGTGAGCATATTCCCTCTTGTCTGCTAACTCCTCACAGTGACACATTGACTTTCCCACTGCCAGCTGTGTGACCACCTCAGTTATGATTACACTCTCTGAGCTGTGGTCCTCAGTAGCCGCATCATGTGATGCCTGCCTCACAGGCATGCTGTGCCGGCTAGGCACTGCTGACTCATCATTCCTGCAGTGTGCTAGAGCTATTCATTTATTTACTTGCTTATTTACTCCAAGAACCATTCACTCCTTCATTAATTGAAGTTTTTTTTTTTTTTTTTCTGAAATAGGGTCTCACTATGTATCCCAGGCTGGCCTGAATCCTAAGTCCTCTTGCCTCTGCCTCCTGAGTGCTGGGGTTATAGGCGTGCACCACCATGCACTGCTTGAAGAAATCCTGAGACCTATAACTGAGCCAGTGGACACAGAAATAAGAGCTGCACCTTTACTACACCCACTCAGCTAAAGCAGACCAAGAGCCTTCTATTTACGTTGTATGCACCAACCAGTGGAAACTGCAGAGGTGATCCAGGAAAGACCCTGCATCCTTATAAGGTATGTGTGTTTGAGTGTGTGGATGGGGGAGCAAAGATCTGGAGGGGTGGTTTGAAGGTAAACATAAAAATTTCAGCCTTGGGGTTGGAGAGATGGCTCAGTGCTTAAGAGCACTGACTCCTCTTCCAGAGGATCCGGGTTCGATTCCCAGCTCCCACATGGCAGCTGTGAACCGTCCTTAACTTGAGTTCCAGGGGGAATCGGATGCCCTCGTCTGACCTCTGCTGCATTGCATGACAGTGTACTCACATGCATGCAGGCAATACATTCATACACATAAGAATCAATAATAAAGTATTAAAAAAAAGCCAGGCGTGGTGGTGCATGCCTCTAATCCTAGCACTTGGGAGGCAGAGGCAGGTGGATCTCTGTGAGTTCAAGGCCAGCCTGGTCTACATAGTGAGTTCCAGGACAGCTGGGGCTACAGGGAGACCCTGTCTCAAAAAGACCAAAAAAAAAAAAAAAAATCAGCCCGGTGTGTCTTTAATACGAGCACTTAGATCTCTGTGAGTTTGAGGCTAGCCTTGTCTACATAGTGAGTTCCAGATAAGCCAGGACTACATAGTGAGGACCCCAATTCCAAAAAACTCCAAGAATTTGGGCTAGGTATGGTGGTACACAGCTGTAGTTCCAGCATTTGGGAGGCAAGATAGGAGGATCACTGTAAGTTCAAGGCCAGTGTGGCTTACACATTCAGTTCTAGGTCAGCCAGGGCTATAGAGTGAGACTATGTCTGAAAAACTAAAAGGTTGGGGCTGGAGAGATGGCTCAGTGGTTAAGAGCACTAGCTTTTCTTTCAGAGGACCTGGGTTCAATTCCCAGCACCCACATGGTTGCTAACAACTCTCTGTAACTCCAGTTCCAGGGGATCTGACACCCTCTTCTGACCTCCCTGGGCACTGCATGACACAAGTGCACTTACATACATGCAGGCAATACACTCATACAGATAAAATAAAAATAATAAATAAAATACTTTTTAAAACCCGAAAGGTTGAAAAAATGAAAGAAAAAAAATAATTTGGACAATGGAAAGCTGGCCTATGTTTTGAGTATTTCTCCCTATTTTCTTTACTGTGCGGTGTTTCTACTGGTTTACTTTCTTTTTTTTATATTTTATTTATTACTTTTATTTTATGTGTATGCATGTATTGCCTGCATGTAGGCAAGCACACCCATGTCATGCAATGCCCACAGAAAACAGAAGAGGCTGTCGGATCCCCTGGAACTGGAGTTATGGACAGTTGTTAGCTGCCATGTGGGTGCTGGGATTCAAACCCGGGTCTTCTGCAAGAACTGTCAGTGTCCTTAACCACTGAGCCATCTCTCCAACGCCAGGTTTACTTTCTTATTAAGGAATGTGTGCTCTGGGTGCCACTTACCATTGATCCAATATGAAGTGAGGACAAGAAGTCTTCTGTACTCAAATCTCTGTCCCCACATCATGGCTGAGGGTGCTCAGTGGCTTGTTTAGGGAGGTTGGGAGAGGGATGGTGCCTGGCTTCCCAAGAGAGGGGCCTGAGCACAGCCTGACCTCACCTGTGCCATGTTATTAGGGTGGCTGCACTGTGCATAATTGGGGCAATGAATACATCTCCTATGATGAGGACAATGAGGCCCCATGATGGCTATTAGTGCCACTTGGACTAGTTTTATGACAGACAGCTCAGAGGCTGTGAGAGTGTGACAACCAGAGCGGAAAGGTCAGTCCTCACTTTTCACCATCAGCTACAAGCATAAGTGTTTGTAAGAGGATTTCCTCTTGCTCCTGGAGACCTGGGACAAGCCAAGCAGCCTTCCAGTCTGCCAGAAGGACCAAGAGGAACCTGCCAGATGCTTCAGGGAGCTTCTCTCAAGGCTATGCTGTCACAGGACCTCAAGGACAACATATGCTATGCAGCTCTCACGTCACACAAGATTCAAGGTATAAACCTCAGGCCTTAATTTTTTGTCTTTTATTTATTTTATTTTTTGTTTTGTGGTTTTTGAGTCAGGGTCTCCCTATAGCCCCAGCTGGCCTGGAACTCGTTATGTAGACCAGACTGGTCCATGATCTCATAGAGATCTGCCTACCTCTGCCACTGGGATTTAAAGCATATACTGTGGCTGGAGAGATGGCTCAGTGGTTAAGAGCAATGGTTGCTCTTGCAGAAGACCTGGGTTCGATTCCTAGCACCCACATGGCAGCTAACAACTGCCTGGAACTCCAGTTCCAGGGGAATCCAGTGCCCTCCATGGGCGCACCTATATACCTGCAGGCAATACACTTTTACACATAAAAATAATAAATAAAATATTTAAAATCATGAACCACCATGCCCAGCAGTTTTGTCTTTTATTCATTTATTTTTTTTTGCAGGGCTGGGGATTAAAATCAGAGTCTTGCCTGTGCTAAGCAACTGTTCTACCACTGAGCTACACTCTCAGCCTCAAGGTTCACTTCAGATCCCCTTGTTGACCTAGGCACCAAAACCTCGGGTTCTGGCTTGTCAAGGTGGGAGGGAAGGCATCTGCAGTGGGTTGGACCCCCCGAACTACAGCATGGAAACTTTTTTTTGGTCTTTTTGAGACAGGGTCTCCCTGTAGCCCCAGCTGGCCTGGAATTGCCATGGAAGACCAGACTGGCCTCGAACTCCCAGAGATCCACCTGCCTCTGCCTCCCGAGTGCTGGGACTAAAGGCGTGTGCCACCATGCCCAGCATGGAAACTTTTTAAATGAGGACAATCCATACAGTGGCAAAAATGCAACAAAGACATCCAACTTCTTCCCTTCTGAGAAGAAAGGATATTTTCTCAGGGCCTCCTGGGAGAGATGGGGGACTGGAAAGTCTAGCCATCAAGATTACCTTCCCAGCTGGGCACTGGGGAACAAGTGGGAGGGTGAGGCAGGAAGATAACAGGTTCAAGGCATGCCTGGGCAACTTAGTGAGACCCCCATCTCAAAGCAGAAGGTCAGAAAGAGGGCTAGGGGTACAGCTCAGAATAGAGTGCTTGCCTAGACAGCATGAGCCATGGGTTCAACTCCTGAGGCTTTGCAGGCAGCGCATGACACTTGTCTTTGTCAATGATCTTTCCTTTCAAGGCACTTCCCCTTCCCATGGTTTGAAGAGAAACAGGAACCAGGGAATCATAATCATGTATGGCTTTCACTCTTAGGTTAAGCCTCTCCTATTCAGAGACTACAGTCTGCTCTGACACACGCTGATGTTCCATGGACCCTGACAATACTCTGTTGCCAAGCAGGGGGCCAAAGGAGGCACACATTGTTTTCTGAGGTTCATCCAGTGGAAATCTCATGTGTGCTCAGCCAGGACTCACATTCCTTACAGTCTCTGCAGAAAAAGGGGCAGAGGAAACAAACACCAGCCTTCCTGGTGCATCAGCCAGAGAGGGGGGTACACTGTGAGTGGACATGTGACTAGTGTTAGCGACTGCTGGCATTGACCTAGTGACCACTGTGTGCCAGGCATCAGTTTATTTGATTTAATTCTCACAATAAACCCATGAATGGGGCTAGACAGATGACTCAGTGGTGAAGAGCACTGGATGCTCCTCCAGAGGACCTGGGTTCAATTCCCAGCACCCACATGGCAGCTAACAACCATCTGTAACTCTTCTGACCTCTGTGCGCATTGCACGACATGGGAACATTTACATACATGTAGGCAATTCACTCGTACACATAAAAATCAAAACAATCTATGAAGTACAGTGTCTTTTGTGGATGGGGAAACTGAGGCACAGAGCAACAAGTGACTTGCTTACAGGCAGTGGATGGTAGAGCTGGATTTCAAGTCCAGGACTGTTAGACTCCAAAGCCATGTTTTAACATATCACACTACACTGCCCACAATGGATGGCTGAGTCATGTTCTCTGAGCTGAAGGAAAACAAACTTCTGGGCTGGACTAGGTAATCCATGCCCAGCTTGGATAAAGTAATTCTTAAAACTATGTCAGTTCTCATCTTCAGGGCTAATCCCTCACTAAGGAGGCTGAAAGTTGAGGTCAGAGAGATGGCTCAGCAGTTAAGAGCACTGGCTACTCTTGCAGAGGACCCAGGTTTGGTTCCTAGCACCCATATGGTGGCTAACAACTGTCCATAATTCCAGTTCTAGGGAATTTGACGTCCTTTTCTGGCCTCTGTGGGTTATGTACATGTAGGCAATACAAAGAAAACAAAACAAATAATGAAAACAGAAGGCTGAGGGCTGCACATGCACCTGACGCAGCTTGGTGCGGTAGGGAAGATGAACACAGCATACCGTTTCTAGCACCTCACTGCTTCCCTAGGGAAGTGAGGCAAAATCCACAGCTCCTGTATGTGGACCCCTCACTTTTTTGAAGCATCTGATACTAGTCTATTACTATAATTGTTTTTTTTTCCACATTTTTCTAAAAGGTTTTTTTTTTTGTCTTTTTGAGACAGGGTCTCCCTGTAGTCCCAGCTGTCCTGGAACTCACTATGTAGACCAGGCTTGCCTTGAACTCACAGAGATCCACCTGCCTCTGCCTCCCGAGTGCTGGGATTAAAGGCATGTGCCACCACACCCAGCCCTTTTTAAAATATTTTATTTATTATTTTTACTTTATGTGTACGCATGTATTGCCTGCATGTAGGTAAGTGCACCCATGTCATGCAATGCCCCAGGAGGACAGAAGAGGCTGTCAGATCCCCTGGAACTGGAGTTATGGACAGTTGTTAGCTGCCATGTGGGTGCTGGGATTCGAGCCCAGGTCCTCTGCAAGAACAGTCAGTGTTCTTAACCATTGAGCCATCTCTCTAGCCCCTCTAAAAGGTTTTTAATTAATTATTATATATTTTTTGGCAGTGCTGGAATGGAACACAAGGATTGTATATTCAAGGCAAATGTTCTCCTATGAAGTCACACCCAAACCCTTGCCTTTTTTTCTCTCTTTAACTAGAGCTTAAATAAACTAGGGGCATTTTTGGCACTGTGTAGATGGTGATAAGAGTACATGACCATCCTTCATCCTTCATCTGAGTGCAGGAGGGTGAAGTGTATCTCCATGGCACTCTGGTTGCAGAGTCATTATGTGACTATGGTTTATAGTCAGTGATGGCTCTGGAACTACACACACCAAGAGGAGGCTGTCTCTTGAGTGCACAGAGAAGCTGTCTGTGGGGCTAGCCGAAGAAGCACTTCATCCATAGTGTCTGCTCCAGATCTGAGAACTGGGGTTGTAGGTGAAAGCAGCTGTGCTCAGCAAACACACTCTGGGAAACATTATTGGGCCTTAAAAAAAAAAAAAAAGGCTTTCTTCAAGGCCAGCCTGGTTTACATAGTGAGTTCCAGGACAGCTGAGGCTACAGGGAGACCCTGTTTCAAAAAGACCAAAAAAAAAAAAAGGCTTTCTTTATCACCATGTTACCCATCCCTATCACCACTCAATGCTAGTGCTTGCTGTGTGAGAGATGCTTGGTCTGGAGCCTCAGTTCTGACATAGAGTCCTACAGAAGAGAGTCTGGTCTATACTGATTGCCCTTCCTTTTCATCCTGTTCTCTCCACATCAACCTCTACTAACACTGGAAACCAGCACATGGGACTTCCATTGGGGTGAGAGGATTCATGGCCCCCAAAGGCATCATTCACCTGAACAGAATTAAACATTGGTAAAGCCTAACATCACTTGTGTGTGGGCCCCTAGCATGCAAGCCTTCTGCTCCCTCCCTTTACCCACAGGAGCTCTAAAGAGCCCCAGAAAGGCCAGATGGCTTCTCCAAGGCTGCACAGTAGCTGGTGGCTGGCTGAGTGGCTCCTAATTCAACCCTCTATGGAGCAACATGCCCCAAACATGCTGTTTTCTATCTGCTTTTCTTCCTCTGCAGGTCTTTCCCCCTTTCACAGATTTGTAAACAACTGGTAGACCGCAATAGTGGTTTATTTCTTTCTGTTATCTTTTCAATAACCAACACAGGGCTAGGTAAACTCAGTAAACCTTATGGATGTGATTCTTACTGGTCCTGTTCCATCTACTGAGAGCTCCCTATGAGGCATCAGACTTACAGGGTCCTAAGTAAGAATGGCTGACCTTGATTTCGAGGCAAGGACTTTGATGGAGTGGGGAGAATGGACCATGGGGCAGCAGGGAAAACAGGAAAAATCCTGGACTTGGACCCAGGAAGCCTGAGCTGGAATTTCAGCTCGTCCTAGTCACCATCAGTTTCCTTACCTACAAGCTGACAAAACACATATCTACTTCCCAGGACTGCCATGAACACAGAGTGTGATAGTTGCCTTTGGTTATTAACTTGACACACCTGGGAAGAGGGACCCTCAATTGGGGAATTTCCTCTATTAGATTGGCCTGTGGACATGTCTGTGGGGCACTTTCTTTTTTTCTTTCTTAAAGAAAAATTTTTTAGGGGCTGGAGAGATGGCTCAGCATTTAAGAGCACTGACTGCTCTTGCAGAGGACCGAGGTTGGATTCCCAGCACCCACACGGCAGCCATGAACTATCCTTAACTCCAGTTCCAGGGGAATCGGAATTCCCTTCTGACCTCCGCAGCATTGCACAACCCAGGTGCACTCACATACATGAAGGCAATATACTCATACACATAAAATAAAAATAATAAATAAAATATTTCTTAAAACTGCCTTATTTTTCCATTACTCATGGTTTTATTGTTTTTTAGCTACATCTGCCTTTTTTGTTTTTGATTTCATTCTTTTAGAAGTACCCATGTCATGCAGTACCTGTGGAGGTCAGAAGAGTACATTGGATTCCCCTGGAACTGGAGTTAAGGCTGGTAGTTAGCTATCATACGGGTGCTGGGAATCGAACCTGGAGTCCTATGGAGGATCAGTCAGTGCTCTTAACTGCTGAGCCATCTCTCCAGCCTATGGGGCACTTTCTTGATTGTTGAGTGATGTGGGAGGTTGGTGGCGCCACCATGGGCAGGTGGGCCTAGGTTGATTAAGAAAGCAGGCTGAGCAGAGGCCAGAGGGGTAGGCCCGTAAACAGTGTTCTTCCATGGTCTCTGCTTTAGCTCCTGCCTTGACACTGTTCAATGATGGACTGCAATGTGGAAGTGTAAACCAAATAAATCCTTTCCTCCTCAGGTTGGTTTTGGTCAGTGTTTTCTCAGAGCAACAAGAAAGCAAACTAGGGCACATGGTCAATACCATGCAGCGCAAACTCTGAATGTTTACATGTGCCAAGGATGAGTTTAAACACTGTGTTCCTATCTGCCCCTTAACCATCACATCAGTTGAGGAAGGCTCTAGCATTGGCAAGGAAACTGAGATACAGTGGTTACAAAACTCGCCTCGGGTGGATCTCTGAGTTCAAGGCCTGCCTGGTCTACACAGAGTTCCAGGTCAGCTGGTGCTACAGGGAGACCCTGTCTCAAAAAAAAAAAACCAACCCCCCGCCCCCGGCAAAAAAACTCGCCCAGGTAAACCATGGGCATGGGCTGACCTGCTGGCCACATCCTCTTCGGTGCCCTTGTCTAACACGCTGCTCAGGTTGTGCTCTGCCTGTGTCTCCTCGGGCACCTCCTCCAGCTCCTCAACCAGCCTCACAGAGCGACGGTAGTTCTCCAGCTCGATCCTCTCTGGGGTGCCCCTCAGCCTCTTGGCGATGCTGGGTTCCTCTAGACCATTCATGCTGGAACCTGTGGGAAAAGCAAAGATACAGCGCTCTGAGGATGAAGGACAGAAATGGAACTGCAGTAGTGGATGATGGGAGCTGGTGTTGGATGAAAGAGGGAACGCCAGGCATTGGAACGGCCACAACTCATCTCCCAGGAAAAGACTGCAGCCCTCCTGTGAAGTCAGAACCTGGGTGACTGAAACCTGAAGGGCTGAGGATTTGCCAGAGGACAGGACGTGATGCTGGTGTGTGTGGCAGAACTTCCATAACTCGGAGAAACAAAGGCCACTCATCCACTCTTCTGTGTCACCTGGGCCCCAGTCAAGTCAAGGGCAGATACCATCTAACCAGTGATGGTGACTGGGTGAGGATCCAAGGATGGATCTTCTCACTACCAGGGACCAAGGGCAAGTCCTCCCAGTGGCCCCACACACTGGGTCTGGTAGGGCTCTGCTGAGGTATCCTGTGGACCTGTCACATAGGATCTGTCTGTATCCTGTGGTCAGGTTTGTGGTAAATATTTTGTATATCAAGGACACCACAGAGGTGGTACTGAGCTCTTTGTGCATGGTTGTTTGGTGGAGGATGGAGCCAGGCTTAGCATTGTGGGGGCAGATGCTGTCAATTTAATGCGCTAACATACAAGCACATTTTCACTGTAAATAACCACCTGTGGGGTGATACTCAGAAACCAGAGAGCCCTGCCCCCAGCATTCTTTCACCCAGGCTTGAGCCTCTATCAATGATCTTGGCCTATCTATGGTTAGAATGGTGGGGAGGGGCACTAAAAGGTGATTTAAAAAATTTTATTTAAAAATATTTATTATTAATTATTATTTTTTATGTACAAGTGTATTGCCTACATGTATGAAAGCACACCTGTCATGCAATGCCCTCGGAGGTCAGAAGAGGGTGTTGGATTCCCCTGGAACTGGAGTTAGGGACAATTGTTAGCTATGTGGGTGCTGGGAATTGAACCCAGGTCCTCTGCAAGAGCAGCCAGTGCTCTTAACCCCTAAGCCAACTCTCCAGCCCTCTAAAAGGTGGTTTTTAAAAATTCTGTCATTCCTATGGTGCACATTCATTTTTGAACAACATTAAGAAATCATGGTGTTTCTAAAATTAATTGTTAGGTTTGAGGCATCTATGATTCTCTTAACCTAAAGCAGGCACCCTGTTTCTCTTTTCACAACTGTTCCTCTCTGATGTTCTTTACTGTCCCAGTTCGACCCCCACCCCATTGATGCTGTGATGTACCTGATGCATCATGATAAGGCTCAGTCAGATTCATCCAGGTCAGATTCTGATTCCACTAGTGACTGGCAGGGATGTTAGAAAAGCTACATACTAGTCAAAGTCACGTCCTGGTCTGTGGACAAGGACAATACCTGCCTCCCAGGGCTAGGACGGATGTTGAATGAATATATCCTTCCACTAGGAATGCCAGCTCTACACCCCCAGCACACTGGTTACTTTCCTCTTCCTGTTAAGCTGAGCACACAGGCAGCATTCAGCAAATATAGGCGAAGCCATGCGCCTGATGTCCAGTTACATTTCTACCATTTATTTGGGTGTATTCCCATACAGGGGTTGGCATCCGTTTGTTCGGCACCAAAAACTGAGTTGTGTCAAAGACACACAGGAAGAAGTGTCAGTGTTAAGCCAAACACACACACACACACACACACACACACACACACACACAATGTAATACAGACACACACACACACACACACACACACACACACACACACCACACACACACACACACACGCCACACATTCCTACTTGGTCTTCAAAATATGAAATGACAAAGAAAAGTCAGGAGCAGTATGGCAAGATGGCTCAGGGAAGCACTTGTCACGCAATGCTAATGACTTGAATTCAATTCCCAGAACCCAGATAAAAGTGGAAGGACAGAACCATCTCCGCAGAGTTGTCCTCTAACCTCCACATGAGTGCTGGCATGCCTCCCCCAATTATATATTCACACAGTAATAATAAATCTTAAAAAAGAAAAGGCAGAGGCCAGGTGAAAGTGTACCATGAATGTCCTTAGGTTCTGACCAGGGCAGGTCTGTGGCTACTGTGGCATTCTAAGCATTAAGAGATAACATTGTGTTTTTTTTGTTTGTTTGAGACAGGGACTCACTGTATATTGTTTGAGACAGGGACTCACTGTATAGCCTTAGCTGGCCTGCAACTCCCTATGTAGACCAGACTGGTCTCAACTCACAGAGATCCATCTGGCTCTGCCTCCCAAGTGCTGGGATTAAAGGTGGGTACTGCCACATCCAGCATAACACTGGGTTTTTGCATACACTATCATAACAACCCAATTTGGGATGACAGGTGCCCTCAGGCAGACCCTAAATAGTTCAGCAACTTTTCATGTTATGACAGGTTATACAATAAGTGCTTTGAGGGTGGGCACCTCTGTTGTACACAAGTTTATTTTATTTCATTATTTTTGATACAGGGTCACTTGCCCAGGCTAGTCTCAAATTCATTATAGCCTAGGATGACTGTGAACTTCTGATCCTCCTGCCTGTATCTCCCAAATGCTGAGATTAGGAGCATATGCCACCACACCTGGTTTAGTTGGTACTCAGGATTGAACCCAGGGCTTCATCCATTTTGGGTTAGCACTATACCACCTCAGCTACATCCCCAGTCTGTACAAGTTTTTTAACCCCTTCACATGGCATTAAAGAGAGCTTTTCTATGAATATAGGTAAGTACAAAGTAAAGTCTCAGTGCATCTGTTAGAATTTCTGGGATCTTCCACAACAGCATCTTTCAAATTTACTAAAGAATCTTTAGTGAAAAGCAAGATCTGGTGCCAAGCTCATTTACAAATCCAGGTAAATATGGGATGATGGGTCCTGATCACACATCCTTAAGTTCATCTGTCTCTCACCCTCACTTTAAACCCCCTGCTCCATTTTTCCTTACTAAGCTCAGGGACCTGAAAGTGTAAGCCATGATACTAAATGAGGGTATCTGAGATAAAGAAGGGTAGACTACAGGTAATGGATGGCAAGAGCGAGGCAGGCAGCCATGCGGGTAGATTTGGCTTACATCTTCCAAAGCAAAGCCGCTTGCCAGGCCCCAGGAGGGCATGGGCTCACTTGTGTTGGCTCATCACAGCCACATCAGTCCTTTTCTTCCTCATCAACACTCAAAGTCTCCACACAATAACAATGTTAAAGCTGAGGATTCCCTGACCACACACAGTAACATTCTTTCTTTCTGTGTGTTTGACAACTGTTCTTACACAGAAAGTAGAAAAGAACAAGCATGAAGCAAGTCCCCAAATGTAAACTTTCCAAGAGCTCCATTAATATAGAAAAATAACAGTATTTTGTCTAGATGGAAAAACAGATTAAGAACTATCACTTCAAGGAAAAAGCTAACATTCATCAATTCCAACCCCAGCCAGTCCCAGGCAGAGTGCGTGAACACCCAGGAAGAAAGATACTAGAGAAGTGAAGTCAGGTTCTTGGTGATGATCACTCCCCATGAACTCTGTAAGGATGTGGGGATCATGGCAGATGAAAACCCTCTCTACTCCTCCCTAGACTTTTAAAAAATATTTTATTATTTTTATTTTATGTGTATGAGTGTATTGGCTGCACGTATGTGAGTGTGCCCGTGTCGTGCAATGCCACAGAGGTCAGAAGAGAGCTTCGGATTCCCCTGGAACTGGGGTTAAGGATGGTTTGTAGCTGCCATGTGGGTGCTGGGAACCGAACCCGGGTCCTCTGCAAGAGCAGTCAGCACTCTTAACCACTGAGCCATCTCTCTAGTCCCTCCTCCGTAGTCTTGTAGGAAGCACAGTGACCTGGGTGTTGAAGGAAGGTCTTCTGGGAGAATATGCAGTTAACCAACTTAAAAAAAAACAACCCCCAAAAACCAAACTATTCTGCAAGGCTAGCATCACACTTCGTAAATGAGGTAACTAAAGCTCAGAGATAGTTAGCTGCCCAAGGTTGCAGCTTGGGTCAGTGGGGCCAAGTGTTGCACTTAAGGAGAGCAGTAATTCAAGAAGACTACCCTGCTGTCCCTGGATTTGACTCAAGGAAAAGGAAAGGCACATTCTCATAGAGTCTCAGTCTGCGCTCCTTTTCCAGGTTTCACATAATCTCCTGCTGTGATTCTCTACAGAGCACGTCATATTTCACCAAAGTGTCTGGAATGGCAGGCCTTTGCCTGGTGTCATTTCCCTAGAGATTCTACAAGCTCTGCAGACTAATGGATTATAAGCATCAGAACTTGGCAGTCCAAGCCCAGAGCTTGAGGCTGTAGGGAAGGGAAATACTGCTTTAATTCTGGCTTGGCTACAACAACAAAAAATAACCCAGAAGCAGTCAGAACTATTTAGACCATTCACACATCATGCACTAGACGAAGGATGCTCTGAGCCTTGGGAATTTTATGTCTTTGTAAAAATAAGGTAGAAGAAGGCTTGACTTTGTGGCCTTCACCTATAATTCTAGCATTCAAGAGGTTATATAGGGGCATTTAGGTCAGCCTGGACTACATAGCAAGATGTTGTCTCAAAAGAGAAACCAAAGCAAAATCAAACCAAAGCAAAACCATCAAATAAAAATGAGGATGAGGGGCTGGGGATGTAGCTTAGACAGTAGAGTGCTGGCCTAGCATTCATGAGGCCCTGGTTCGATCCCTAGCACCACATAAAATGGGTGTGGTAGAGGACCAGAAATTCAAGTTCATTCTTGGCTACAAAGGGAGTTCAGGCTGGCTTGAAGTTCATAAATAAGGAGGAGAAAATAGAGTTGTCTCTATCTGCCAACCTACCCAGTAGGCACCCACATGGACCTGGTGTTTACCCTAGCTTTCAGTGACAAGAGAATACTTGGGCAGGGTGTCCCAAGGACTAGGGTCCCAAAGGGAAGGCGGCACTCAGAATATACTTGGCAAGTACTGAACACTCACCAAATGCCAAATTGTGATTAACATTCCCAGCCCATATTAAGGAGGTCAGCATCTCTGATTCTC